CCCGGCTCCCCTGCCCCCCTCCCCACCCCCCTACAGAACAGTCCCTCCCCAGTTTCTCTCTCAGGTGCAGTAAGCTGCAAACCTCCCCTCCCCCATTCTTCCCTTTACAGTGTGGGACCTTCCTGCTCCATTCCTCTCTCTTCCATATCTCTGTCCTGGGATCTGGGCTCTGACCTGACAATTCCTAAAGACCCACCAGAGGAGTGCTTCTCTCTTTCGGTGGCTGTCCCCCCACGGAAAAATGCTGGCTCCCTCCCCCCCCCCAAAACAGCACCCATGGCCGCGTCCAAGTGGCTTCACAGCAAACACGCAAACAGGCTCTGGGCTCTCTGCCGTGAAAGCAAAACGGCCAGAACTTCCTCCTTCCAGCCTTCCAAGCTGCCCCCGCAAGCCCGGTGACCTCCCCACTGAGCCTCAGTGGGATGTGGCCCCTTTTGACCTACATGGCCCTGGGGACACTTATCCTGCAAGCAAGTGGGGCCCCGTGGCTCTCCCCTATCTCCCCCAAATGTGGAATGCCTCTCTCCGCCCTGCCCCGACTGCTCACCACTGCTGTGAGTTTGGGGGGGTAAAAAGTACGAGCGTCCTGGAATCTAAAGTGTCACAGCTGAAAGGGACCATGGAGATCATTCTGACCAACTTCGTCATTTCACAGACGGAGAAGCTGAGGCCCAGGGTCTGCAGGGCCCTGCCCGAAATCATAGAATGCGTTTGTGGCCATCTACTTTTAGAAGGCACCCCTTCTTCCATTTTGCTCTCTTCTGAAGTTAGACAATGTCTTTGAGTTAGTTGTGCAATTTCTTTCCAGTCACATGTGGCAGAAAACCAACTTGAAAAGGCCTAAAGAAAAAAAAAAGGAATTTGTTGGCTCATTCCTGGAGCTGGGATGGGTGGGATGGATAGGTCCACTGGAATCGCCCGGCCTCGTCCTCGGAGGGAGGAGGCACTGCTGAGGGCAGAGGCGAATGCTGGAGCGGGAGGTGTGGGGTCTGCGACAGCCCACCTTTCGGCGGCTGCACATCCTCATAGACTCCCCTCCTACATACACACACACAGCTGTGCACACACAGGCTTAGACACACTGGCCAAGGGAGGCCACTAAGGGCCACCAGCTGCGGGGCCAGCCATTCTGCGTGCGTCCGTTTGTGCTCTCCACGGGGGTCTCTCTTGTCCACCGTCCCCTTTGATCCTTAATCTGGATGCACTGGTTTTTCTTCTGCCTCTGTAACAACCTATTTATTCTCTAGGTTTTGCTTGGAGGGTCTCTGAGTGTCGTAGGCCCTCTGTCCCCACGCTCGGCATTCTCTGGTTCTCTGGCGGCAGGGCTGTCATGGGTAATGGTCCAGGTTGTTCCCGGGACAGAGGCCTCCTGCTGAGAGGAGGCAGGACTACCTCTCCCTAGAGGGGGAGGGGTCCCTTTTCCCATTGCACATGAAGTTTCTCTAGGCTTAAAATTGCGTCATCTTCTGACAATACAAGCCCTTAATAGCTTAATAAGTGCATCAATTGGAATGCTTTTTACAGCAACAACAGAAATCCCAATTAGTACAAAGGAAAGGTATATTCTTTTGTATTATATAGCCCAAAGGAGGGGCAACAGACTCAACAATATCCAGAGAAAGATGTCTCCTTCTCAAGAGTGAGGAAACATTTTCCAGAAACTTCCTCCCTGGCTTCCCCTCACATCTCATTGGCGAAACTGGGTCACATGCCTGCCCTAAACCAATCACTTGCAAAAGAGAATGGGATTCCTCAGTTGTCTGAGGCTGATCTTAGACGTAGTCCCTGAGCTGGGAATGGGGTAACGTTCTTGCAGGCAACCTGGGCTTGGTCAGGGGAGGGAGGGAGGAAGGGATGGAGGGAGGTGGGGGGAGGGAGGGACACTGTGACCCGAGTCAGTGTGGCTCCAGCAGGCCTCTCTGTCTGTTTGCCTTCGAGCACTTGCCCGGTCACCTGTCCTTGAATCCAGACCGCAGCCTGGTGGTTTCTTTCTCATGCTCGTAGATCTTGGTTCTCTGCCTGTTCCCCAGGCCTGCCTGTTCAGCCTCACGGCCTCCACCTTCTCCCTTGCTTTGGACCCACTCGAGGCAAGCCCAGGGGTGGAAGGGCAGAGCTGTGGCCCTCTGCCCGGGGCTCCGTTCTAGCAAACTCGTCTTTACCAGGAGGCAACGCCCAGCTTCCGGGGGTGCTTTGGGAAAAAACCTGGGAAACTAGGCTTAGTGTCCACCTGGGATCCAGTTCCTCTGCTTCCTGCCAGTGCAGGCTCTCATTTCAGTTTACAGCATGGAATTCATCTCTTCTAACTTCTCGAGACTCTTGGATAGCGTAGACTGCTGGCTGAGGCTGCAAGGGGCCCTGTTTCGGGGGCTGCGCCTTTCCCACCCATCCCCCCTTTCCCATGGGCTCGTCTTTTCTGGAATTCGTAGAAGGCCCAAGAATGAGCCACAACCCCGAACATGTGTACTGTACGTGGGACAGAGTCCAGATTATAGGACAGCTTCAGATTTAGACATAGAAAAATAAATCTTGTTTTTGTAATGCAGACCCAAGAAGGGCTCTGCAAAATCAACTTTGCTGGCGGGGGGTGGGGGGTGTGGGGGGTGCAGGTTAGAAAGCTTGGGAAGCCCGCAGGACTGTGAGGAATGGGGGAGATGGTTGTTGATCAGAGGAAGAGTATGGTCTCCTGGGGAGACAGGAAAAGGACTCCAGCAACGATTAAGGAGGGATAGGTGTGACTTTGTGGTCAAGCATTGAATAGTGTGGTAAAGACCCCTTCATTTCCCTACCTGGCAAAATCCTGTCATGAAGCCACAGATGAAATGTCACCTTCTCGGTAAAGTCTTCCCTGGAACCTCTTGTATGGACCCATAGTGCTGAGTCCATAGCCCTACTGGTACTGCTTTTGTTTTTTATTAATCCTTACCCAATAATATGTTTATTGATGTCACACACACACACACACACACATCGGTTGCTTCCCATATAAGCCCCTGGGGATAGAACCTGCATCCTAGGTATGTGCCCTGACCGGGGATTGAACCCGCAGCCTTTTGGTGTACGGGACCATGCTCCAACCAAGTGAGCCAGGGTGTCCTACTGGTACTTGTCATGCCACAGCACAGAAGGTGCGCTGCTCAGGTCCTCTGCGGCAAGGAGAGCAGCCCTGGAAAGTCCTTCGCGTGTCTAATTCTATTCTGGTGACAGTGTCTGGTGACACCTGTCAGAGAGAACCAGCAGGTTAGTTGGTTCCTTCTGTCTTTCCCACCAGACCACCAGCTCTCTGAGATCAGGGACCAGTAGGCGGGGGCGCTGTTGACTGACGGTCCGTCCCATCGCCACATTGTGATGAGGCCACACTTCCCACGGGCTGTTCCCAGCTGGCGACCGAGCATAGCACACACTGGGGCCCGTGTTCGTGCGGACGCAGGGCCCCCTGATTACGGTGTTGGCTCAGAGACAGCGCATCAGCCCCGCCGGAATGTTCTCAGAGCGGCGCTGCTGTCTGAGCTCTTCCTGCCCACCCTCCTTCCTTCCCCGCTCCGTTCCCAGGTGTGAGATCTGGCACCTGGTGAAGGCTCTCCTGCCTCCGCCCGATCCCTGCTCTGTACCCTTCCCGGGCATTTCTCCCTGTGAGTCTCCTGCATGTCTGATCTTGTCTTGGTGACAGCTTCTTGGAGGACCCGAGAGAACAGAGTGGGTTGGGTGCTTCTGTCTTCCTGCTAGACGGTGAGCTTTCTGAGATCGGGGACCAGTGTGTGTTGGGCGTCGCCCCTGAGTGGAGCACAGCTCCTGGCCCAGCAGAATGAGTGAACAAAGGGGTGAGACTTGAGAGAAGGGGCAGATAAGTGAGAGAAAGAGACCAGAGGAAGCTTCAGGGGGCAAGTGAGCCTTGCCCGGCCCGGAGGCTGCCGGCGTGGAAAGCAACAGTCTTCGCAGAGACTTGGCATCTGTGGAGGATGGACTTAGTGTTTTACCATCTTCCCAGAGCTGGGGTCAGGGGAGAGCTGTGGGTGCCTATGTTGGGGTCACCCTGCCTCGGCATGGGAGGGTTGGCCAGGTAGGGGTGGGGCAGGGAGGCTGAGCAAGCAGATGGGAACCAGAAAGGGCCTCCTCGGCTGTCCTCTGCACCCAAGCCTGCGGCTCTGACCCAGAGCAGGGCCCCAGATGGTGCCGGGAAGCCCTGGGGTGCCCCCATGAGTCAGGGCGGATTTTCGTCCGATGTCTCCACCAGGAGGTCGGCATCCAGAGCCACAGTGAACTCCCCTGGGCAAGTTCCAGTTTCTCCGGTGCTCTGCGCAGTCCCAGAGGGGCCTGGTCCTGCTCCCGCCACCACACTGTCTACTCCAGTGACATCAGTCTACAGTTCCCACCAAGGCCAATCCTGACCCCGGAGCCTGGTTCCAGCCGGCAGGGGTGGAGGGAAATGCTGGCAAAAATTAGGCTCCTGTCCCTGCCCTACTCCCACAGAGCCACTGAGGCTGCTAGGAAAGGGGCTGGAAGTGCCCGTCAAAAGGCCGTACCCCAGGGTCAGGCACAGGGTACGGGGAGCCTTGGATGAAGCCAGTGTGACGAGCCAGCAGGTACAGAGGCTGGATGGAGCAGCGGTCTCGGCTTGCTCCGTCACAAGGACAAAATAGCTGGCGCCCAGGGACATGGGAGAAGGAGACGCTTCACAAGAGGTCCCAGCCGGTGCGGTTACCCCAGAGCCCTGGTTTCTTCTCCACCGCCCAGGCCAACTGTGGGTGCCCGGGGTTGCTGGCTGCAGCCCTGTGGGGGAGCGGGGTTCCAGCTGGGAGGCCTTAAGCCCCAGCTGACCTCCAGGCCCAGGCCTGTCCTTCATGGCCAAGGGATGGAGACCCAGCTTATTTTTCCAGCTGCCCTGTTTCCCGCCACCTTATCAGAAAGGGCGAGAAGGTGTCAGAGTTCAGAACCCCCCACCCCGCCCTCCCCGTGGGACAGCGCCCAGGTGCAAGGGGGGAGGACAACTCTTGGGCACAGCTAGGCGACTTCTGTCCTGGGAGAGCTTAAAAGGCCCCAGGACATTTTCCCAGTCTCAGTTGACCTTCCCAGCTGGGTGCAGCATGAAGGGGCTGCTGGTTTTGAGTGTCCTGCTGGGGGCTGTCCTCGCCAGCGAGGACTTTTCGGGGTAAGGGTGTGGAGAGGAGCAGGCAGTGCCCATAGGGGAGCCTGGGAGGACTCGGCCTCAGGCCACTGCCCGGAGGAGACGAGCAGACAGATGCGCAGGAAGGTGGCCAGCGAGGAGCAGGCTACCACGTGCCCCGGGAGGCGGGCTGACCAGGGACCGGGGCTGTGAAGGGGTCTGTCTCTCAGGGCAGCCTCCTGAGCCCTGGAGAACCGGAGCTCTGGGGAGGAATTTCCAGGAAAGGAGGTGGGAAGAGGCCTGGCGGGCTTTGGAGAGAGACGGAGTCTGGACTGGGACTGGGGGCAGCAGCAGCGGTGTCCAGAAGGCTCTGAAGAGCCCAGACCCTCTATTGCTTAGACGCCTCATGCTGCCCGCTGCTCAGCCCAGAGGACCGAGGCCCAGCCTGGGGTTTCCAGGCTGCCTCCCGCCCTCCTCCCACCTGGGAGTGTGAGTGGCCAGTAGGGCCTTCTCAGACCCTCAGCTTCCCCTGCCCCCGTCCAGGCACCAGGTGCTCCGAATCTCTGTGGCCGATGAAGCCCAGGTCCAGAAGGTGACGGAGCTGGAGGATCTGGAGCACCTGCAGGTCAGAGGACAAAGGAGCCCTCCCTGAGCCCCCAGGGCACCTCTCAGGCCAGCTGGGCTCACCCTGGGCCCTCACCCACCCCTGGAGCCTGGGCTCTCTCTCCCGAGCCACCCAGAAAGGAGACATGGGACCGATCCCTTTTAGGAAGGGATTAACCTTGCCCCCACCCCAGTTCCTGAATCTCAGTGCACTTGAACATCTGAGCAAAGGCTGGGGGACCCCTGTTCCGGTACTTTTCCCTCCCTTGCTGTCTCAAAGTCTCCCCACCCCACTCTGCTCCCTGGGCCATTTCTCTGACCATACTGGTCTTTGTCCTGGGCCCGGGGGTTCCCTTTGTCCTCTGCCCCTAATGTTCCCAGTTATGTGGGAAGTTCTGGCACCAGCACCTGCTCCCAGGCTGGCCCCTCCCCAGCCCGCTCTGACGGTGCCGGCTCTTGTCCTCCCCAGCTGGACTTCTGGCGTGGCCCTGCCCAGCCTGGCTCCCCCATCGATGTCCGAGTGCCCTTCCCCAGCATCCAGGCTGTCAAAGTCTTCCTGGAGGCCCATGACATTGAGTACACGATCATGATTGAGGACGTGCAGTCGCTGCTGGACGAGGAGCAGGAGCAGATGTTCGCCTTCCAGGCCCGGGCCGCCTCCACCGACACCTTCAATTACGCCACCTACCACACCCTGGAGGAGGTGAGGGGCCTCTGTGACCACGTCCACAGGCCCCTGCAACAGGCCGGCAGAATTTGGTCAGAGACAGGGTGTACGTGACACGGGCTCTGTCTCCACATGGCCTGGGGGCTCTGGGATGTGGCTGGTCCACACAGCAGGGCTCACAGCTGGCCCGCTAAGGGAGCAGTTAAGATAGGCATCTGGGCGCCTGGAAACCATTAGAGCCGTCCTGCCGTCCTCTCCCTCCCCAGATTTACGGCTTCATGGACATGCTGGTGGCCGAGCACCCGCAGCTTGTCAGCAAGCTCCAGATCGGCAACACCTATGAAGGCCGTCCCATCTACGTGCTGAAGGTAATGGGTGCCTTACGTATGGGTGTACATGGGCACACGTGCAAGAATGGACACCCATGTCTGTGCGCCGGGTGAGCCCATGGCCACTGGGAACACGCTGTTTACCGGCTCCCCATGCTGACGTTTGGGGAGGTCTGAGTCTCCATGCTGGTGTAGGCGTGTGCCCCCCTGCACAGCTCTGGCCATTGTCTCGTGTGATCTGGTGTTTAAACTTTCAAGTTACCCAAGTGTTTCCAATCCGGTGTCACACTGTGGAAAGTATCCTGGGTTGGGGTAACCCAGATAAAAGGTTTTATTTGTGAACTGCAACAGAAGAACAGGGCGGGGCCTGGAAGCCTGGCCGAGTTATATTTGCCCCGACCTTGGGCTGAGGGCAGAAGGCCCAGTTCTGCAGGGCCCCTGTCCAGCCCCCAGCCCCCCACCTGAGTGACGGCCCCACACACAGAGCCTCAGCCTATGATGCCCAGAGAGCAGGTGGCCTCTGGCCCGGGGCGCATTTCCCTTCTAGGAGGCGGGACCAGGCCCAGCCAGCCCATTTGTCTGCTCCTCTCACCCAGTTTAGTACCGGGGGAAACAACCGGCCCGCCATCTGGATCGACACGGGCATCCATTCCCGCGAGTGGGTCACGCAGGCCAGTGGGGTCTGGTTTGCAAAGAAGGTAAGCCTGGGGAGCCGAGGGGGCACAGGTGTCCGGGGCCCACAGAGGCCCTTCGCACCGGGGGACAGTGCCCGCACAGGGAGGCCGAGGGCAGCTGTCTGCACGTTGCTCCCCAGCACGGCCGATGTCCGACCTGGCCCGCTCTGCCTCTCTGCCCCCCACCCCCCCTGCAGATCACACAAGACTATGGCCAAGACCCAGCTTTCACCTCCATTCTGGACAACATGGATATCTTCCTGGAGATCGTCACCAACCCCGACGGGTTTGCCTTCACCCACAGCAAGGTGCGCCGTGCGCCTTCTCCTGTTCTCGGGGAAAGCGGGGTGGGCCTCTGGCCTCGGAGCCCGACAAGTTCCTCACCCCCATTCTCAACCCCCGGAAGTCAAGGGAGGGCAAACAGACCCGTCCCCCCTAGACCAGGGCTCACAGCTCTGGCGGTCTCGGCATCTCGGGCAGGTACTTCTCGGTGGGGCCTGTCCTGTGCATGCGGGGTGTTTAGTGCATCCTGATGGGCACTCACCGGAGGCCAGCAGCAGCCCACCAGTTGAGACCCCCAAAAATGTCCTCAGACATGACCAATGTCTGTGTGTGGGGGGGGGACAGAACTGTCCCCAGGGGAGACCCACTGCCCCAACCCTTGCTTCCTGCTTTTATCTTGAAGGCAGGCACAGCACGCCGTCAATCCAGCGTGTGCGGGGCGGGCGCACCGAGTGCCCTTTTCACTTTCTGCCAGTAGAAACCTCTGGCCTAATGCCATCCATGGTCTCCTCCACCCTCCTGCCACCAAGAGCCCCCTTCACAGATCCCTCTCCTTCCCTAACAACTAGCCCAAAGTGCTCTCTGACCCCACGCTGCGTCCCCACCCAAGCTCCGGATGGGGTGCCGTGTGTTGACTGAGGCTCTGCAGCCCACACGCTTCCCTGCGGGCTCCGAACCCCGGGCCAGGGCTGGGATGGTGATGTGTCTCCTTCCTTCCTCAGAACCGCCTGTGGCGCAAGACTCGCTCCATCACAGCAGGCTCCTCCTGTGTCGGCGTGGACCCCAACCGGAACTGGGATGCCGGCTTTGGGCGTAAGGCCCAGTGTGGTCCTGGGAACAGGGATGGGGCCCCCGGGAATGCCTTCTGACCCTGCTTTGTTCTGTTGCCCCACCCCCACCCCACCCTCCTGACCCACGTCCTAGTCCTGCCCTAGCAGTGAGGGCTTGGGGGTGGGGGAGTGGCGGGAATGTCAGCCCCGCCTCGGGGGCTTCCAGTGAGGAAGGTGGCACTCTGAGGCTTGCTGTCCCTTGTCTGTCACAAGAAAATGCCTTCCAATGGACCTAAGGTCTGACGCCTGCCCAGGGGTTTTCAGCTCCTTCCCTCTGTGGCCGCTTCACTGCAAGTGAAGTCTGACTTGAGGATCCCTTTGCACCTCCCCAGGGCAGGTCTGTCCTGTCTGCCCAAGCCTGGCTGGGAGGGAGGTGGGACGCCCAGGTTGTAAAAGGCCCCTGGTCTCTCCTTAATCCAGGGGTGGGGGTGAGCCCTCCTGCACCCCACCTCACCCCCGGCTCTGTGCAAGGACACTCTGCTTCGCTGTAAGGAAGCCAACTACCCCTCCCCTCCTCCCACAGTGGCCGGAGCCAGCAGCAACCCCTGCTCGGAGACTTACCACGGCAAGTTTGCCAATTCCGAAGTGGAGGTCAAGTCCATTGTGGATTTTGTGAAGAACCATGGGAACATCAAGGCCTTCATCTCCATCCACAGCTACTCCCAGCTCCTCCTCTATCCCTATGGCTACACGACAGAGTCAGCCGCCGACCAGGCTGAGCTGGTACGCGCTGACCCCCAGTGCCCTCCGTCCCGGAGGCCGCGTTGGGCCGGCATAGGGTTTCACCCGTCAGAACTACTTAAGGCACTAAGGGCCTACCCAATGCCCAGCACCCTGTTCCTCCCTGGACCCCCGATGGCTTGGGAAGATTGGCAAGACAGCCTGGCCTTGCTTTTGGTCTGGGAACCTGAGGCGTACAGTGGTTGGGTCACTTCTGTCACATGGCAGGGTGAGGGGAGGGGCTGGACTTTGAGCTGGTACCTCAAGCTCACACTTGGAGCTGCAGCGCGGCCGAAGGGCGGCCAAGTGCCATCCAGTCAAGTGCCATCTGCTCATCCTGCAGGGTCAGAGCTCCAGGGCCGACCCTGCAGGACCCAGCAGGCTCCGTGTTCTCTGCTAGGGACCTGCGTCTGCAGAGTGCAGGTTCCAGGGTCACCCTGCCAGCCCTGGGCTTCCCTGGCCCTGCTGTTCTGGGGGCCCGGTGTGGCTGGCCATGACACGTGGTCTTGCTTGGTGTTTTCTCCAGGATCAGCTGGCTGCGTCTGCTCTAAAGGCCTTGTCCTCTCTGTATGGGACCAAGTTCAAGTATGGCAGCATCATCAAAGCCATTTGTAAGTGGGTGCACAGTCTCTGTGGTGGGGGGGCCCTGGGAGGAAGCTCAGCTGGCTTTTCCTACCCCAGGGAGTGTCCCTCCTGGAGGAAGTAGCCAAGAGGGCTCAGATCTGGGGTCATGCGCAGGGAGAACGGCCCCCGTCCCGCCTGAGAACTGCTGGTCCCCGGGGCAGTGCCACCCTTTCTCTGCCTCGACACCTCCCAGCAAACATGTCAGTTCCTCTGAGAACTCTTGTCCCTGTGTCTCGGGGTTAAGTCTAGCTTCCCACATGTAGAAGGTGGAGTGTTCTGCTGGCATTTGTAGATAGCCAGGAAATTCAACGTAAAGACTGCTTCTCCTGCCGTGGCCTTCAGTTGGAGACGCCACCCTGTCTTTCCCCAGCCTACTCAGCCATGTCACACCTGTGGGGGGGGGGGACGTTGCCACACAGAATGGAATCAAGTCGACAAATGTTTATTTGTTGTGCACCTACTATGCACAGGGCCTTGCTTTAACATGCTTGGGAATAAAATAAGCTCAGGTCGAAAAACTTACATTCCATCCAGGGAGACTGATGATAAACATGGGTAAATGGTACCGTGTGTCAGGTGACCAGTGCTGGGGAGAGAGAGGAGAACTAGAGCAGGGTGTTGGGGGGTACTCGGGAACCCTGGGGCTGGGAGTGGACAGGCACGTTGAGGCAGAGGCCTCACCGAGAGAGTGAAATCTGGACAAGTGTTGAAGGCAATGAGGGAGCCAAGAGGCGCTGCCACACAGAGGAAGCTTCTAGAGCAAAGGCCCTACTGTGTGGTTTGGTCCAGGGTTGTGGGAATAGCAGAAATAGCACAGACCCCTCATGGCTGCAGCTGAGAGAGAACACAGGATTGGAGAAACAGTTGGGGTGCAGGCAGATCCTTGCGGCCCTGAGGGAATGCGCCAAGTTCACCACCGGCTGGGGAGGCAGGAAAAGCAGGGGACCGAGACCGAGGCGGGAGGGCGGTACACGCTTCTCACACACCTCCCTCCTGGGGCGCCCAGGTTTGGGCGGGCCACAGTCTCCCCCGGGGCTGGCCTTGCTTTGGGGCTCCAGGTCTTCCTTGGAAACTCCTTCCACCCCGAGTCAACGTTTTTGCTTCATTCAGTGTTGTCAAGTTAAATTCTGATACGCAGCCGCCTCCCTAGCTGCTTGGTAACTGCACATCTGGACAAAGTTTCTTCTGAAAAGACAGACAAGGAGCTTTTGCTTTGACTCTGGCCCTTTGCACTGTCCCTTGCAGACCACAGCCCCAGGACACAAATCCTGGTGACCCAAGTGGGCAACTTTGGTGTATTTGGAGGCCTGACCAAAGCGGCTCCTGCAGGGCGGAGGCAGTTTTCAGTGGGACTTTGGCAATGGCAGGAACCTTCTTGCACCCCCAGGGAGAGGAGAACCATTGCCGGTCCACCTCTCTGAGCCTCTTGGGCTGAGAACCTTCAGGGGGGTTTCTCGGGAGGAAGCCAGGCCGCTCCGTCAACAGCAGGGCTGAGTAGATGCTACTCCAGTCAACACTGCAGGGACCCTGCGCTTTGGGCTGTCGGCCCGGCCCATGCAAACGATTCAAAGTGCTTGACCTTTGCTCTCCTGTGTCTGTTCCCGCCCCAGACCGAGCCAGTGGAGGCACCATTGACTGGACCTACAACCAGGGCATCAAATACTCCTACACCTTCGAGCTCCGGGACACCGGGCGCTACGGCTTCCTGCTGCCGGCCTCCCAGATCATCCCCACGGCCCAGGAGACGTGGCTGGCACTCCAGACCATCATGGAGCACACCCTGAATCACCCCTACTGAACCCGCCCTTCGGCCTTCTCCTCCTTAGCCTCCCTGACAACCAAATAAAGTCTGAGCACACAAGGAACCAAATCTTGGGACATGCGTGTAGGAACGCGTGCGGAGCGCCTGCCTTTTCAAGCGGGGGCAGGAGTGATTTAGTTCCTGCAGGCCTGGCTGCAAATGTGTGGGCGGTTCGACCAGTTGACCCCTAAATCCCCCTGCATTCCAAGGTCCTGTGAAGTTGTATCCAAGTGGCATCTGTTTTAATTAGACCACCCTGAGCTCAGCTCGTCAGTGGGGTGATTTGTTCATACCGTGGTAGCAAGCAGCAGTCACAGCTGCTAGCCAAATGCCTGGCACCCCGCTGTGGCGAGGAATTCTGCTCGTACAATAGCCTCGCTGGTCAGACCCATCCGTCTACAGCAGCAACGGCTTTGATATGGGGCAGAGTAATCGTGGTGGCCACCGAGGTCCCAAGTACATGTTGCAGCCTGGCAAGGAAACTTCTGTAAAGCAAACGTGGTCTCCCAGTCTTGAACAGAACTGGAAGAGAGCAAGTAGGTTAAATGGGATCATCTTCGGAAGATGAAGACCGATTTCAGGACCATTTATTAATTGTAGTGCATCACACAGACTTTGCCTTGAGGACAAAAGTAGTTTCCTTTATATTTGCACATCCTTTCTAGAATATTTCTTTCTTTTTTTTTTAAGATTTTATTTATTTTTTAGAGAGAGGGGAAGGGTGGGAAAAAGAGAGGGAAACATCAGGATGTGGTTGCTTCTCACACGCCCTCTACTGGGGATCTGGCCCACAACCCAGGCATGTGTCCTGATTGGGAATCAACCCAGTGACCTTTGGTTTGCAGGTTGGCACTCAGTCCACTGAGCCACACCAGTCAGGGCCTTTTCTAGCATCTTTTGATCCACCGTCTCTGCTCCCTCTCCTGTCTCGACCACCACCACTCACCATCCACAAAATTTCTCACACCTAAGCCTCTCCTCTCCTCCACAGAGCCTGGAACTTGTCTTCCCTCCTTTTTGGCTTGGTGATTCTCACGGCTGTGACACCGCATTGGTGGCTGGCACAACCATACCTAGGGTATCTCAACATTTTTCAAAGCAAGAATCTACCTGTTTTCCAAATCTCTCAAGATGTGCCTGTAGAACAGGGAACTACTCCCACATTCCAAATGAAGCCAATGCTTCCACGAGGCCATAATTTGGCCATAATTCCTACCTGCCGAAGATGGATTCCCACAGAGCTCGTTGGGGAGTTGGGGGTGGATTGGTAGCTCCCCAAACAGAGGGGAATGGGGTGGGGACGGCAGCCTCTTCTTGCATCAGCCAGGTTGGGGTGTTAGAATGCCTGCAGCTCCGCTGACTCAAAAGTCTGGTCTTTGCCACACAAAATGGGCTGAGGTTCAAACGTTTTTTTAAGGGACCCTTGGGGAATTTTCATCTTGACATTTTTTATTTTTATATACATATATAATATATTATATAGAAAAGATATATGTTTATATATATATATATATTTGCTACAAAACATTCTAAAAAACAAAAAGAATGAGGCTGACTATGCACGCAGTATACATAAACACAAGGCAAGGTAAAACAATGTTTCAGTCTCTACAGAAATGTGACCTAAGAATTCTAAAATATTTCCTTCGAGTCATTTTTTGAAAAGCATTTCTCTTCAACCCACGAAGGTAAGCTGAAACCCATTTTAATGGCTCAATTTGGGCAAGGAAAAAATTGATCTTTTTTGTTTACTAAAGACTGATAAGTAAAAAATAATACTCTTAATGATTTCAAGTAATTAAATCACCTAGCTTAAAATAAACTTCATTCTCTGATGGTAGGAAGTTTGACAACCCATCTCTAAAACCATCGACAGTGCAGACACCCAGTACGTGTTTGTGGAATGAAGAAATGCTCTCCGTTTTTACTAACGAACTCATGCATTTTGTGATCTGCATATTACAGGCTTGCACGTTATTCTGAAGTCTCCAAGTTGTGGTTTAGGAAGTAAGGCTCTGAACAAGTAAGAGTCCAGAGGGCAGGCTTTGCTCTGTTCTCTTCAACACTTAATCCCCACTGAGTGGCCAGGTACTCGGCACCCAGTAGGCGCTTAGCGAATGCCTTTTCAGTGTTGCCATGGAAGTCGTTGATGCTTTTATTTTGTATGTTCAGTGTAGGAAGAGCATGACATTTTGTTTGTAGATACATATTTTTAAAAATCTATTGGTAAAAACTTCAGTGTATAAAAACAGAAGCTAAAAGAACACAATTTTAGAAAGTACTGGAGCATATATGAAAAAGCATATGAAAAACTTTGAGGGGAAAAAGAGCTCTTATGGGTAAAAGGGGCTCGAAAAATAGACTAACATTTCAAAAGAAAAACAGGTAATTCCCAAAAGAAGCAACACAAAAAGCCAATAAATGTACGAAACATACTGATCCTCTGAGTAATCTTTTTGTTCGCTGAAGAAAAACAGGCCCCGGACCCAGTGGCTCGGTTCGGGGGAAGCGTCATCCTGTCCACCAAGAGGCTGTGGGTGGACAGGAGGCAACCGATCGATGGTTCTCTCCAAAAAAATCAATAAACATATCCTTGGATGAGGATTTAAAAAAACCAAATGTATCATTTTTCTCCCATCGGATGGACAAAGAATAAAAAGATAGGCGAGGGCACGATGAAATGAGACCTGTCGTGTCCTACTTCGGGGGAGGAGGAGGAATTTATACCGCCTTCCTGGAGGGCAGTTTGGAAACGCACATGAAAATGTCAATGTGTTATCCCTTTGACCCCGAGAGTCCACTCGGAAGAATTTAAAATATTCAGATGAGTTCAAATCTATGCATATACATGGTTATAATCATAATGTAAATAGAAAGGAAGAGCACTGAAGTAGAGACCAGCGCTGGTGCCGACGGGACCCGCCCACACCCGGGAGCGTCGTGCAGCCGCGTTGGTGCCCGCCGACGTGGAGCCACGGCCACGACATCCCCAGTGGAAGAAGCTGGCTGCACAGCCCTGCAACTTTACCATGACATTGTGTATTTAAAATGGGTGGACTTTGTGACGGTTCATGTTTCCATGCTGTTATTGTAAAAAAAAGAAGCTGGTTACAAAACAGTATGTCGAGCATGCATCTCGGTTTTGTCTGAAACACGCACACTCACGCACGCCGCCTGTAAGGATGTATTCCCCAGCAATAATTATGGTTGCCCGGGGTAGTGGCGGTGATTTTCCTCTTTATTCCTCTTGATATCTTTCTGACTTCCTTTCAAGTGAACCTCAATAATTGGGAGGAGGGGAGAAGCTGTTTCAAACATGCCATATAACCCGTGGGTAAAGTTATTTAGTATCAACTCATTATCAACACCAGACATCAGCCATCTTAATTTCTTTTTTATCGCTTGTCATTTCTCCTGCTCTGGCATTATATTTCACCATCCATTGCTTGGAACAATGTAATTGTCTTACCTTTGGAAAAAATTACACTCCAGATAGGGCTAGAAGCAGCAGTATTTGTACCAGGGGAAGGGGTTACTCATGTCCCCACGGGGGGTCCACCCCCAAGCACTCTGCTGGAGCGCGGATGAAAATTCCCCAGTGCCCTTTCTGTCCACACTCTGTTCCCATAGCAGTCTGGGGAACTGACTATGCTAAGAGACTATGTCTAGCCTCCAGGGCTTTAAAAAAATCCTTGTTTTTCAATGAACTCATTTTACTCTTTTTCTTAGACCATTATATATGGCCTGTGGGCCACTGGTGGTCCATGAGAATCCTTCGGGTGGTCCCTTCCACATCCAGCTTTCTGGCTTTGGCCTGAAGTTAAAATTGAGATGTGGTTGAACACAGTCCAGCTATGACCTCACTGGTCCCTCATCCCGTGCAGGGCTGTTCGTCATCTCAGCAGTGGGTGTGTGAGGGTGATGGGGCTCAGTGGGCTTGAAGGTGCAGGCGGACGCATGCTCGGGGGCCCTTAAGGACGGTCATCGCCCTGCGAACACACTAAGATCCAGATACCATTTTCAGGGAACTGACAAGACCAACTACAACATCCAAACTGGCCAGGTGAAGGAAGACCCCTGAGAGAAAAGCACAGAGCATGTGTCAACTCCGGAAAACCTGTCAAAGGGTAAGGAATGCTCCCTAAAGCTTTCAGGATCCGCATTAAATTGGGAACTCAAATTGTGAGCATCATCTAACAGCCCCAGAGGCTGAGACTGCCAAGTGTTTCTTGCCAAACCGAGAGGGAGAATGAAAAGTCCTCCGCCTACCCGCGGCAGTGGCACTCAGCTACGTTTCAGCCGAGCGTGGCGGAACGAGACCGCTGCTAGCGCCCGCGCGAGGCACAGAGGGTTGCTGCCCTTCCTCCCACCCGGGCCTGAGGCCGCGAGCCAATTCACAAAATTTGTGTCTCGGCCTAAATCAGAAACACCACCAAGGAGAGAAAAGACCAGACACAAATCATATCAATATGGTTTATTGAATGAATAGTTCAACCTCTTGGGAAAACAGCCTACTTTTTCCCCTAGGATCTAATGAAAAGTTTGTAACTCATTCCTTAAGTGATGCCCCAGGAGTTGTTCACTGAGAAACAAAACAAACCGCAGACACTTTGGGACACCTGTCTTCCAGCCAGGTCCCCAGGTCCGGATGGCGGAGGTGTGCAAGTACGCGGTCCTGGGAGAGGATGTTTCAGCCCCTGCACTTCTGTCGCCTTCTGTGTAGACAGGGGAGGGCACCTTCCCTGGCATCTCGGGGACGAGGAGAAAGCCAACAGCCAGGGAGAGGCACATTTCCGTTGGTGAACTGAAGGCGTCCCCGAGGGAGGCCATGGCCGCGCCCACTATGAGCGGGAACCACGGAGCAGAGTGGAGGATCGAACTTCCTGCGCGGCCATAACCCTGGAGCTGGATCCCGGCCTCTCCACCTCCCGGCGCAGTGACTGGGGGCGAGGTGCTGAATCGCCACTCGACCCTCTGTCTCCTTTCCTGAAAATGAGGGCGCCTACCTCAGAGGACTGCCGCGAGAATTAAATGAGTAAGAACATGAAAAAGAATCTGGAAGCA